ATTGGAGAAGCCTAGGACAAGAGTGATCATAACAGTGAGGTACCAGAGCAAATGGCCTACGTATGAGTCATGGTGGAGCAGTGGGAAGGACACTGGCTGGGAGTGGAGAGCCAGGCCATACCGTCAGTGGGCTGTGAGATGTGGGTCAAGCCAGTATTCCTCTCAGGAGCTGGTGACAGGGCTCCCCGAAGAGAAGCACAGACCACAGTGGTTGTCTGGCCTGCTCTCCTAGGTCCTGGACCTCTGGTCAGGCCACGCTATGGGCAGGCTCCTTTCTCCCCATCTCACTCATCCAGGGACAAGTTCTCTTTGGCTCCTCAGCAAAATTTTGTCCTGCTGAAATGTCATTCTCATTCACAAATTATACCAATTATTTCCCTTTGGAAGCCTTCAAAAGTGCCTTTCTCTGATTTCCTGGGAAGCCAAGACGGTGGCAATTCACATCAACATCACCACACAGAGCAATTATTGAAGCAACAAAGCAAAAGGCCTAAGAGAATGGGCTTTGAAATCATGTGGACCTGAGTTTCAATCTCGATCTCTCTTACCACCTTTGCAACCACAGACAAATTACTCAAACTTTCTGAGATTTGGTTTTCTTGTCTGTGAAGTGGGGTTGATACTACGCTTGTAGTGATGTGAATATCAAGTGAGACAATGCATCTACAAAACACAGCACAGTATGGGACATGGAGTAGGTGGCTAATAAATGCTATCGCTAATATTACTATGACGTTTACTACCTCCATCCCTTCTCCCCCCCCCAATCTTCTCGGGATCAGGCACTGTGCCAGTGCAGAGGATACGGTGGAGAACAAGATGGACACAGACACACTGCTTGCCTCCATCAAGCTTACGCTCTATCCAGCATGGGCCAGTTGAACTTTTGCAATGATGAAAATGTTCTATATGTGCATTCTCTGCTATGGTAGCCAGAAGACACATGTGGCATTAAAGCTCTAAAAATGTGACTGGTGTGACTGAAGAACTGAATTTTAAATTTTATTTAATTTCAGTGAATTAAATGAACATGGAAATAGTCACATGTAAAATTAGGCAGCACAGCTCTAGACACCTTTCAGGTACATTTCTGAGACTGACCAGCTGGAGCAGAGTAAAGATACACAGAGAAATGTACCCAAAGCATCCAGTACTGGACTTGGAAAATTCTCTTATTAGTTCATTCATCACATTTAATTGCTGACTATGCATTGGTACTACCTCAAGTGCTGGGGCTGCAGGGAAGTATTAGACATGATCTCTGCCTTTAGGGAGCTCACAATTTAGTGGGGGTTATGCAAATAAGTGATTTCACCAGAGTGAGGTAAGTATATGCACAGGTGCTGTCGGCACAGCCTAGCGGTCTCTGACCCAGATAAGCAGTTTAGGGCACAAGCTGAGTCTTGTATAAGTAGATCTCAGGTGGAGGCTCAATTGATATATATTCCATTTACAACAACAGATTATATTCCAAGGCTACTAAGCCCACTGCTGGTGGCAGAGTTGGCTTGGAGGCGAACATGGCTCTAGGAAAAACTCGTAGCTAGAACCAATTTGTTTTTTTCTAAATTGCCCTTTTGTGGTTTTTTTTTTTTTGTAGTGCCCTAATTCAGTCTCTGTCAGCCACATTTTCTTCAACTTGCAGACATTTTGTTAATGATATGTATAACCTTATGTTTTTCAACTGTTTTATTACTAGTTACTAACTTTGATTTGTAATTTTTTAAATTTTTTGATCAAACTCTGTTACTTGTAAGGTGACATCAACTCCCACTATGGTTTGGTTGTGGAATTCTGATATTTGGTGTAAGGAAACAACTATGAATACAGCCAGTGTGTGAGGAAGCTGTTACTGATCGGTGGCATTTGCTGAGTCTGGCTGTGATATCGACGCACATCCATTGTTATAACTGCTTGTGTGGAGAAGTGGGATGTTAGGCACACTTATATATTTAACACAACAGTTTGATTTGTTCAAAGTTAGTATGTGACATCTAGCCAGAGAATTCTGCAGCTGACATTTGCTCACATAAAAACAGGCACAATTTTTATATTGTATGGTTTCCATAATCGCACTTGAACGTGCAAAGTAGGGTGGCATGTGCGAGTCCTTCTCCCATGATGTTGGGGAATGCTCATGTGATGTGGTTTGGTTGTGTGAGGCCCGGGCCTGTGTGAATCCCTCAGAGTCACCTGCTTTGACTATGGCAGAGTTGCCCCTGGTGAATGGAATCATACGTTGGTGTAGCCCTTTTGAAAAGTGTCTTCTCATATATATTGGGAGCCTCAAAACATTTGTGCCCTTTGGCCCAATGATCTGCTTCTAGGCATCTATCCAAAGGAAGTAATGGGGAAGGTGTGCAGTAAAGACTTTCCCTAGAGTTACTTGTTGTTGCTAAGGACAAGAAGAAACTATAGTGACTAATAATTTAATAATGTAGCCAGGAAAATGATGTTCATAAAACACTTTAGCTAAAACACTAATTTAAAAAAAAACACAAAGAAACAATAATAGCTACAGAGAGTGAGCAACCATACTTGGGAGTCTGACAGCCTGGGTTTGAATCCTCACCTTGCCACTTACTAGCTGTGTGACTTGGGCAAGTCACCTGAACTATTAGAACCCTAGAAAAATGGGGATGATAACAGTAATACCTGGCTCAGAGGGACTTCTAAGGATTAAATGACATAATGAATATAAAATACTAATGCCAAACAAAGCACATTTACTGGGTACCCAATAAATGCCGGCTCTCTATGGATTGTATGATTTCAAGACATAAAAATAGATGGAAAGGAAATATGCCAATATATTAACAGTGTTGGATCTAGATGGTAGAATCATGGGGGTTTTGATTCTCTGTATACTTTCAACTTCCCAAAATTTCTGCAATGAGCATGAATTACTTTTACACTAAAAGAGCACATCATGATAATGTAATACGATAGATATTTTTTCAAAAGAGTTTTATCACAATGAAATGGTACTTCCCTTCCTTCTTCCCGCTCCCCTTCCAGGGCAGGAAGTAGAGGCCAGCATCCTCCCATCCCCATCAGCGGGAGAGGGAAGGGCTGCTGCCTTCTGGGCTCTCCCCTTGGCAGAGCCTCAGGCATGCACAGCCCCGGCCTCTGGGAGCGTCCAGGTTGAAGGGATCCTTGCCACCTGTTGCTGGTGTCGCGTGGGCAGTTGAGGGCTGCGTGTGTGTGGGGGGGGGGCTGGTAGCTAGAACAGATGATCTCAGTAGTTACTCTCATCTCTGAGAGTCTAGATGCCAGGACCCTCTGATGCTTATCGTTTTCCTCCCCAACTCTTAGCTGATCGGAACCAAACACTGTATAAAATTCTAAGGTGGGGAAGACTCATCTACCAGCTTCCCGCCCCCAGGCATCTCCCAGAAAAATACCTGTAAGAACGCCTGCAGTGTGGGATATAAGTGTTAAGGGTGATTCGCAAAAAGATCTAGATAGAAGTACAACAAGGGAGTTAGCTTAGTTGCAGCTTCATTTAATGAGTATAATTTATATTTGGAGTGGAATCTCTGGCAAATATAGCCTTTTTAACATGGCAAACAGTGAGGTACCTTCCCACTTAGGACACACCCCAGGCATGAAAGGGGCATAAGGTGTGTGTGTGTGGGGGGGTGCGTGGGCGTGCGCGCGTTCGGGACTAAACCTTGACTTTTGTCCCCTATGATCTAATGTCCTTCATTGACAATGAGGATGCCCTGTGCTCCAGCTGAATTTTATGGGCAGAGAATCCTAATCGCTGAAATAACGAAGTCAATGGAATTCCGCCCCCCCCCCAATCCGGATCAGAGGGGCAGTTTCCAATCCTGTGTCCTGACTGCTGTTCCTCATCAAGACTCCCCGGGTGTTCGTCTCTAGATCCCAGGTGCGTCCCGAAGCCTCCAAAATAAAGGAATGCTGAAGAGCGCTCCCAGGCCCTCCCCCACGCAGCGAGGTCATCGTATGCTAATGAAGCCCGGGGAGACAGCGGCGCAGCCCCTGCGAGCGCGCCCACGGGTTCACGGTGCTCCCGCGCGACACTGCGACGCAGCCACAAATCACCTTGCGCTGCCGCAGACCCTCCTGCCGCTGGGGGCGGCTGGGGGAGGGGTCTCGACCGCCCCCCTGAGTTCCGCAGTCGGATCTCCAACATGCAGGAAATGTCTTTTCGCTCTCGTCCCATGCTTTCCATTGCAGTGATGGTGGGGATGGGGACGGCACGCCAGAATCACCTGTAGGGCTTTTAGAACTCCACAGCCCCCTCCCCAAATTCGAGCCCACTCGTTCTGAGGAAGAAATTCTCAGCACATTCAGGGTGAGGCGGCTGGTGGAGTTTGCGAGAGCCCCACAGGTGACTCTGGATGCGCACCCCTCAAGACACAGACATACACACGGACACATCTTGTGACTCCGAGACTAAACAGGTCAGCCTTAGATTCTCTTCCCTCCCCTCCCCTCCTTTATTCGCCAACGTGTCTGTGTTCTCTTCTGCATCCCTTTAAGTCCTCCTGCCCCGAGGCTTTGTGGCATGCCCCAAAGTCCTAGAACCCTGCGGGACGGTCCGCGGCATTGGCAGCCAGACGTTAGGAAACGCGATCCCTGCTACACGCCGCCCTTGTGCACCCTGGAGCGCGAACTGGATGTGAAGGAGCCAAGGTAAGTCCACAGGAAGAAACCCATCCAGTTGCTTCAGTAAACTGTCTGGAACGAGGCTGCCTCCCACCTGCACACCTTTGGGGTTTGGGGGGCCTCTCAACCGCAGAGGGAGCCGGCCCCCCATCCTGCGCCCTTCCCGGTTCCCGCACCCCTCCAGTGGGGCATCCCTCCCTGCAGGGCTTTGCGGCAGGTGGTACCGTGGGGTGGGCGCAGCGATTTCGGCTGCAGCCCCTTCCCTGGCTACCGGACCGGCTCTGGCTTTGCCCTCCCTTTCCAAGTTGCTTACACCCGCGCCCCGGAGCGGGAGACCCCCACCGCCACGCCAGCCGCCGTCTTACCTCACCATGCAACACTTGGTTGCGCGGTGGCCCGGGGCGCTCCTTCCTCGCAGTTTATTCCCTTACTTGGGAGGAAAGAGGAACCGAGAGCCAGAAAGGGGACCGAAGCTGGTGTCTGGGCGTCTTCCCGCCCGCGCAGCCCTCTCGGGGGAGGGGACGGCAGCCCGAGTGGGCGCTGGGGAAATCAGGCGGCCAGGCTGTGGTGAGGCAGCGCGGGGGTCTTCCGCCTCTGCTAGGGATCTGAGCTCCGAAGCGGTCTCTCCTGGCTGCCCGCTACTACGGCACTGCGGCTCTGTGCCCTGCCCCTCGCAGCCTGGCAAGTCCAGCTGCCACTCTCACAGTGGAGCCCTGCCTCCGGGCGCAAAGCCCGCCCCGCCACACACCCGCGCGCGCGCATACACACGCGCCACGCACAAACACACGCGCGCACACACGCGCGCGCTCTCACACACGTGAATGTGAGTGCGCCCAGTGGGAACCCGAGCCCCTTAGGTGCAACTTGGGCGCAGGCATCCTTAGGACGCTTCTTACTGACAGGGCTCCGGCTTGGGAGGAGGAGTTGGGCGCTAGGGGTGCAGAGAGATGCAACAGTGCTGGGCACCAGAGATCAGCTGACCCAGAGGCAAAGGACGGCTGTTTGACAAATAAAATACCCACTGGGAGTGTTCTTTTCTCAACCTGGGACCAGGCTGCCTTAATGTCGTGACCAAATCAGAGAAAAAATAAAAATATAAAATCAACAAATTTTCTTTGTTTCCCAGGAACTCAATGTCTCTAGTCTCCAAACTGCTGTCCCTGTCCAGGGGGACATTTCTGACGCCCCTGACTCCGGTGGCAGTGGATTGGTGACGGTTCAACCTAAAAAGATTTCCCTCTCCACAGCTGTGGTGGGGTCTGGCACAGCCAGCCAGAGCAGGGCTCTTATGGCAAGGTCAGGTCTGAAGCCTGGGGGTTGTTAATTCCCTTTCTCCTTTGCTTTCAGATGACCTTGGACTGTATTTCAGCAGAAAAAAATAGATCACTTCTTTTTCAAAAATATAGAAAAGGGGTTAGGGGAGCATTGGCCAACACACTGTGACTTGTTTCTTCTCTTTCCATGACGTGCCTGTCCCCATGGTGGGGGTGCGGGGAGGGGGCGGTGAAGGTGATGGTGACACTATTTCAGGCATGTCACACCAGCAGGATGACTTCTGTCCATTTCACACCACATTTAGAGTCATTAGGAGTTTAGACTCTTGTCTGTAAAATATGTGGAGTTTGCCCATTCCACAGTGGAGAATTGTTTTCTGCCAGCAAGCAGTGAAGGTCCCTGGGCCAGTACTGCAGCCAAGAAAAGCTTTCTGCAGCGTGCAGAGGCACCAAGGGGCCCTGTGTGTCTGGGCACTTGGGGAAGAAGCCTCCAGCAGCCCCGGGGACCCTGATAGTCAGTGTCCATTCTGGGCCATCTGCAGCCAGGGTGGTGGGTCAGATGAGGAACACAAGCTCAGAGATCTCTCCAAGGTTCCATGTGGTGATGAAGGCAGTGCTGAAATCAGAACCCCACATTCACACTTCATCCTACCATTCACCACTCCCACTTTATTCTGTCACCCTGGGTCAGTTCTCAAAGTTCCCTTCAGCTAAACTGAAATAATCGTGGTGAGGATGCTCTCATAGTTCTTATATCTTTTCTTGTTTCCTTTTCACCCACTGAATCATTTCACAATTATTTCACAATTATTTATTAAACTCCTCCTATGTCTTCTGGTACCTTCCCCTGATGCCAGTCCTGGGCCTTACTTGGGAGGAAAGAGTAATTGAGAGACAGAAAAGGCTTAGAACTGTCCCTTGTCCCTAGTGGAGGAGAACCTTTGACACAGGCTTACTGTATGTATTTTCACTGTGTTAGGTTAAATGAATGTGGAAGGCACAATCTTTGCTTTCTGAACTGCATTCTCTATGGAGGAAAATGCACATACATGTTACAAGAAAAGCATTCTGGCTCTGTCTATGCCTGACTCCTTCTAAGAAAGGCTAAATGGAAGGAGAGCCTGCATTTGGCTGGGCATCATGATGGATTTGGGGTTGCATGTTTGCAGGCAGGAGCTCAGGCAACATTGAGTTGTTCTGCTTACTAAAACAAGAATGAAATAAGTTGGGCAGGACAACAGGGAGGACATACAGAGACTGAGAGTGGAGACTCAATGTGGCTGGGAGCTCATTGGGGAAGGGTGGTAAGAAAGAAACAGTTCTCAGGACGGGGCTGCTGAGCAAGGATTTGAGAGCAGGAATGCTTGCAAAGATTGGTAAATAGTTTGCTGTGGAGTGGACTATGAAAGACTGTGCTCCTGTGAAATAAATCATTTGTAAAGTCAATATTGTGCACCAATTTGTTTGTGAATGGATTGCTTTGGGGAACGTAGAGTGGTACTGAATTAGGCATCTGGGTTGCAGCAGGGTGAGTGCAGAAAAGCCTGAGTGGACAGAGGACTAGAAGGCAGCTGCCCACTGGCTGATAGACTAATAACATGTTGGAAAAGGGTGAAATAGATGTTGAATGTGGAAGGCAAAGAGGAGTGTGTGTGTGTGTGTGGGGGGGTGGAGGAGCACCAAGAAGAACAGTTAGTGCCGATTGAGGCACAGGGAGGAGGCAGGGGCTGGGATAGGAATTAGATGGGGAATAGGATCTCACCCAGAGATCAGCAGGAAAAGGTTAATCTAGGCTGGGAGAAAGCAAAACAGAGAAGTAGGACAACTCATGGTGCATTCCAGGCCTTCCCAGCAGAAGAAAGGAAGGTTGAGATGGTATTGTAGAGGGTCTCCAGACGCCCTGCTGGGAATGTAGACCTCAAGCACTGCAGGCTCTACAGCGAGGAGCTATTGCTGTGGGGTGTGTTTTTTGTTGTTGTTGTTTGGTTTTGACAGGAATGGAGCTGGGAAACAAGCTGGGTAGCATCTGATGCCAGCTTTCCCAAGGCAGGCCTTCCCCATCGGAATGGAGAGCTGGGAAGGGTGGCAGGGATAGAGACCTTGTTGCTGCTTTTACAAGGAAATGGAGCCCAGGGGGTGCATGTGGCTCACTGCACAGGGCACACCGCTGAGGAGCTGAAATCCAGCCCACACTCCACTTGCCCGGCCACACACCCTGGGAAGGCTGTGTCACCTTCTCTCTAATTTGCACAGAGGCTTGGCATGGGCTGATATGGCTGCTGAGCATTTTCTTTGAAAAGGCTGAAGCCACAGTGAAACAAATGAGGATGTATTGAGCATTCACTGTATGTGCAAACACAAGGTAAAGCAGAAAAAGTCTTGAAGTCAGATCTATCTGTGAGTCTGAGCACATCTCAGCTCTTTGGTGATCCTCAGAGATGCACTGTAGGGTACAGAGGAAGAAGCTGAGTTCCTTTCCTCTGAGCATGTGCAATCTGGGTCAGCTGTAAAACGCTCCCTCAAAATGGTTGAGAAGCAATAAAAGACAGTATAGAATCAAGTGTCAGATTGTATAGAGCATATTCTCAGGGCTTGAGAAGGGAGTCCTCTCCAGGCTTAAAGAGTCAAGGCAGGCTTCATGGAGGAGGAGGGTTGGGTTTAGGAGTAGAACTTGTGTTGTTGAAGAAAGAAGATGTAAGCAAAGGACCAGAGGTAGGGAAGCTGAGGGTTTCTGAGCATGAGCTTTAGCCCCCGTGGACACCCTAATGCCTTTCCAGTTGTAGCCCAAGTGCTCTGATGAGTCACCCTTGTTTGTCAGAGAGGGCATTTTTGGATGTTTAACTGCCTCAACACTTTACGTTCCCTGACACATCAATGTTGGCAGCTCACACTCACCACGTTGCTCCGGGAACACACCCTCCAAGCCAGCAGCTGATGCCTGATCTCCATTGCCAAGGCAAAGCGAGGGCTGAGTCAAGTACCTGTGTATGGAAATCTTTAAGTCAGACCTTCGGTAACATTCTGGGTGAGCAGGACTTGACACCTTGAGCGCAGTGGAGTTCAGGGTTCCCAAGCACAAGGTGGGGGTGGGCTCAGTCTCTGGGGACCAGGCTCTGGGGGCTCCACTTGCCTTTCTAGCCGTCACTTTTCTCACATACAGAACACGAAGGATCACACCAGATTATCTACAAGCTCCCTCCCACCTAATATTCTATGATTTCATAATTAATAAGATCTTTCCATTTTATCAAACAATGACAGGATAGGAACAAATATTAGCCAAGTGCTAGCCTTACCTTTCCCGGCTCTGGCTGTGAAGGCTGTGCTGTAGTGGGATCGTGATCCGTGCAAGGGGACAGCAGACCCAGGAGACTCTGCTCCTGGTCACAGCTTTGCTGGGATGGGGTTTGTGGATCCAGCCAGGGGAATGTGGGCAGCTCATTTCTTCTGTGGGCTTCAGTTTTCTTATCAGTAAAATAAGGAGGTTGGAAACGGTCTCTACAACCCTTTCTGGCTCTGATACTCTGTTAAGTGCTGTCAACTGAACAACTTGTAAAGATTGCCTAAGCACCTGGGTGGGAGCCCTCAGCAAGGCAAGTTGGGAAAATTCCCACAATACCAACTGATAAGCTTGGGGAGAAAAGCACAAAAGATAAGGATTAAGAATAATCAATAGATCATTTAAATGGAATTGAAAGACTTAGGTCTGAGTCTCTAAGCTCCAGTTTTCTCTTCTGTAAAATGGGGATAGTTACATATCCCCATTATCTTCTGGGTAAACAAAGAAGCATATTTGAAAGTGTTTTATATATTGTGGAACTGCTATGCAAAAATGTATAGCTATTAAAGATAGTCTGCTCCCTTGAGACAGTGTGTTTAAAAAAAAAAACAGCCTAATTGTTATACTATTGCTCACTTGTCTGCTTCCTAAGAAATAGCAATTCAGGTCAACAACTCTGTCTCCATGCTCCTAAAGATAGTAATATTTTAACATGAAAGCAACCTGTGGACTTCAGCAGTGACTCCCTGGCTGCAAATCTGGCTCCTGCCTGGAATTCTGCAGTGTCGCTGGAGTTGCTCACATTGGATGTCTCAGGAACTTTGGTTGTGTTCACTTGCAAACGAAGGAGACACCCACCCACCCAGATTCTGCTTTGATTATTGCTTTTCAGGAGATAGATGGTGGAAAGAGGGGAAGGGAAGTGTGAGTAAGTAGGGAGGAAAAGAAAGGAAAGCCTTTTGCCTTTCTGATATATTTTGGGCAATGGATGCTAAACTTTATGCTTTAATAAGCTTGTAAAAAGACTAATTTGGGTTCACTACATTTCTCTGGATGTGTTTGCTGCTATGTCTGGTCAGGAGACACTGCTGTGGAATTCTCCAGTGTCGTCCCTGGAGGGGAAGCTCTCATGGGGAACACGCTGGGAGAACCACGGGGAAGAAAAGGTTCCAATTCCATAAATGACTATACACTTCAAAACCTGCCCAACCCACAAAACTTTTGAAAGGATTAAGTCCATTTTTAGAAATACTGGTCACTTCTTTACCTCTTGTTAATCATTTTGAGGAGACAAAATGTCACAATATGTTAGAAATTGAGGGAGCCCC